CTGTGCTCGTGCCGTGGCCTCATGTAAAGTCACTGTGCCTGCCCAGAACACTGGTCTGGGCCCAAGAAGACCCCCTCCTTGAGGTTTTAGTCATCACCACTGCAGTCTCCAGGGGCACTGCTGAACTCCGGAGTGACATGCAGCTGATTGAGACTGGCCACACTGCTGAACATGCTAAATGAAATCTCCCCTTCTCCTTGGGGCTGATCACCCAGCAGGTGGTCAGCAGTGGCAACATCCACCACCCTGTCTCTTGAAAGGCAAGCAGTACAGTTTAAATTTCTGGGTTTTTAAATTTTTTTATGAGTGATGCTGACCTTTTCATATGTATAATAGCCCATTTGTCCTTTTTTGTGTGTGGATTGTCTCTTTATATCCTCTTTTGTTCTCTTTAAGTTTGGTAGTTCTTTCTTAAATGTTTGGTAGAATTCATCAATGAAGATATCTGGACCTAGAGTTTTCTTTGTGGGAAGGTGTTTAAATTCAAAATCAGTTTCTTTAATAGGGATTTTTAGGGATCTTTTTGAAAGAGTTTTAGTGTCTTTTCAGAATGCTTCATCACAGTTGTCTCATTTATTGGAATAAAGTTATTCATTATAGTCCCTTATTATCTTTATAGTGTTTATGAGATCTGTAGTAAGGTCCTATCTTTCTTAATTTTATTAAGTTCTTTCTTAGTTCGACTGGAGGTTTATCAATTTTGTTTTTTTGTTTTAAAGAACCAGCTTTTGGCTCATTGATTTTTCTGTTGTTTTAAAAATTTCATTGTTTTCTGCTCTATATTATATCCTTCTGTTACTTTGGGTTTAATTCACCCTCCTTTCCCTTAAGGTGTAAACTTAGTTCACTGAATCAAAACCTTCTTTTCCATTATAGGCAAATAAGAAGATCAGAACAAAACAGTGCAAAGATGTACTGGAAATTAAAATTGAATTTTGATTTTACCAATTTCCTAATACTTGCATTGTTGCTTTTCAAAGTTTATTTTTCTACTATAGCTTTTTAAAAATAGAACAATTTTTTTTATTGATTTGAGAAGGAAACATAGATTTGTTGTTCCACTTAAGTATGCATTAACTGGTTGATTCTTGTATGTGCCTTGACTGGCAGTCGAACCCAAAACCTTGGGAATGATGCTCTGACCAACTGAGCTACCCAGCCAGTGCTCTACTATAGCTTTTTAAGATTCTGAAAGGTACTATATGCTAGCTATTAAAAATTTTCAAAGGGTACAGAGAATTATAAGGAATTGTATTAGTCAGGATAGAACATAAAAAATAATCACAAAATTCTTGCAGCTTAATACAACAAACTTGTATTTCTTACACTACACATCTGGGGCTTTGCTCCACAGTCACTCAAGGACCCAGGTTGACAGAGGCTCTGCCATCTTGAGCTGTACTATCTGGAACACATGGCCTCTTTATTCCCTGGGCTGGGAAGAGAACACTGAGGGGGCTCTCTTCTGAAAGTAAATGCTTTGGCCCCATAGCCCATTGGCCAGAAATAGCCACATGGCCTCACCTAATTATAAGGGTTAAGGAACTAAAATCTTCCCGTGGGCTTAGAAGCTGAGAAGCAGCAGGTATGGGTGAGCACTGTAATGCTATACCCTGGGGGTGGGGGTGGGGTGGGAACACCTATCTTCTAACTCTGAGATAATCCCTAGTTCCCCTCTTTTTGCCGGGTCCCAGTGACCTTCCTGATGGCCAGCCTTGTTTGGATGGGTGGAAATTACTCCTATGGTCTGACAGATCACTGGTTCACATTTTGTTGTGTTCTACCTTATCTCATGCTATCAATATGTATATGAGACCTAGGAAAGGGCAAATCAAGAATCCCTCGCTAGTTGCTTTAACTGGTAACCGTGATTTTCTTTTTAAAAGCTTGCTTTAGAATCTCTGAAAACTACACAAGTAACTGGTAACAGTGGTTTTACCTAGGGAGGGACTAGATAGTGGTGAGTGGGGCTGAAGGGTGTTGAAGAGTGGGTAGGATGAGTTATTTTCACTGTATATACTTTCTGTAACTTGAGTTTTAGACTATGTAAATTAATATTACCTATTTTTTTAAAAACTCCAAACTTTTCTTATATTTTCTTAATTTTCTATATTGAATCTATACTATGTAAATGAATGAAAAACATCTATTTCTTTAAAAGTTGTCAGGCAATTGAACACCATTTTATTTTTTTTCACTGAATTTTGACATATCAAGCAAAGACCACATTTTTAAAAAAAGTTATATTTACCTTTTGGAGGAATACAACTACATTGTCCAAATAGGTCAGTTAGCTGTGGCTTGGAGTACCAGGAACCAACATAGTCACTCTCAGTTGGATATTACCTTTTTGGGAAAGCTCTTTCACATCCGTGCCTTGGGTCCCTTTCTACATTTCGCCCTGAGTGGGGCCATAATTGAGGCTTACTGAAGATCACGAATTTTGAAATCAGACCTGAGACTGCACTTCAGCTCCAGCACTTATCAGTCATGCAACCTCAGGAAATGTGCTAGTTAACACCAAGCCCTTTTCCTCCTGGGGAAAAATAATACGTACCTTTCATGATGGCCGTAAGGATTAAGATGAAAGGTATGTAAAACCCCTGGACAAAACTTAATACATTATTTCTCCCACAGGCTTTCTCCATTCAGGATCAGCAAATCCAGCTACTGTTCTAGTTTTATTTTCTGTACAGTCGTTGACCAGAATGTTAACTGTTCATCTGCCCATCCTATTTCATGCACATGGTTTTTTTGTTAAACTTTTCGGAGGTTGCATAGCACAACTATCTGATTATAATACTATGAAGTTACTGTATTAAGTTTAATTTGTTACCTATTTTTAAAAAGTTATTTTTTTTTCTCTCAAACTCGAATGTACAGAGGACTTTCCAAAAGCTACAGGAAATGTGATACTGCACCTGATTTAATATAGGTGAGGATTCAGCTGTCTGCTATTGAGCCAGACACAAGCAATCTGTGAGATGTGAAACAATGTCATTTTACTCAGTTTTTTGGTTTGGGAAAACAGCAAATTTTCATTTTAAGAAATGTTATTTATGCTACCATGCAACAAGTGTCAAAAGGTCCTGTAATCACACTGTGAGAACTGTGAGGTCAGACTCCAAAGCCTGATTTCTGTAAATAGATGCCATGTTATATGCACCCACATCGCCGGTCTTTGGTGGACTTCCAACCTAAGTATTCCCTTTCTTCCTTTTGCTGGAAAAAAGATAAGCAATTAGTTACTGGTTCTAATCCCACAGAAAGTTATCGTTTTCTTTTTCTTTTTTAAATATATTTTTATTGATGTCAGAGAGGAAGGAAGAGGGAGAGATAGAAACATCAATGATGAGAATCATTGACCAGCTGCCTGCACGGCCCCTACTGGGGATTGAGGCCCACAACCTGGGCATGTGCCCTTGACCAGAATGGAACCCAGGCCAACACTCTATTCACTGAGCCAGACCGGCTAGGGTGCAAGTTATAGTTTTTCTAAGCAGAGATCTGGAGCCAGTTATATTGAACTCCAGTTACTAAGATAGCTATTAATGATGGGGGGTTTTTTTGGTCTTCCACACAGAGCTTATTCATGTGGCAGTTTGGTATGCCAGAAACCAAAAGTTAATTGAAGGCACTAAACTGAAATAAAATAGGAAGATCAGCTGAGAGCGACCTGCTAGAGAAAGCAGAGTAAGTATGGTGTGTTGTTAAGATTTGGGTTGGTAATAACTAGAAAAGCAGAAAAGAAATCATGGTTTGTTTCCTTCAGGCCTGCTAATACCTCTGAATCGGTCAGATCACAATGCAAACCCAAAGATGTCTTGAAAAGGACTTCCACGTTAACTTTTTAAGTTGTATATGAAGCAATTTGAGTTGATTCATAAGTAGTTAAAACATTCTTTTTTTTCAAGAAAACCGTATCTTATAAATCACTGAATCCTTGGAGTTAATATGAACATTTTTCAAGGGAAAATTTGGGACAGGTAGCCTAATAAAGGATTTTTGTCTTGTCCTGGGGGGGTGTTTAAAGAACAAAATGTTGGAATATTGAATAATTTTAGTCGTTTATCGAGGACATGGAGTATAAGTTGGTATCACCTCAGAAAGTTTTAGTTCCCATAATTATGATATTCGGGAACCATTATAAAACAGCTCAAACTTCTCTTGATTGCTTTATATTGCCTCAAGTTGCATATCTTCCCTCATCTCTAAAGTTCTTTCCAGCTTTACGGCTCTCTTACATATTCCATCTCAGATTTGTTTTGTCTTCTTTCTTCCAGTCCTCTTCCAAGGAGCTTCTGGGAACTGCCTTGGTGACTGGAACTGATCCTCCTCCACTTCCTGCCCTTTGCTGACCTTCCATAGCCCCCCCAGATGCTCCTCCAGGGAGTAGCCTGCTTTTCTGCCTTCCCCTGGGCCCCACGGTGAGAGTCAGTAATGCAATGGAAACTTGGGAAACACCCCTTGGATGTTGCCTATTTAAACATGGATTCCTTAGCTTTGCTTATTTAATTTGCATTGCAGTTATTAAGGATAAAGTAATTTTATACAGATTATTCTTTTTACATTTTATAGTAAAGATACCTTTAAAAAAGCGGGGGGGGGGGATCTTCATAAATATGAACCCACACTGTTTTCCTTCCTCACCTCTATTCCAAACCAACATTTGCTATTTAAAACAGCTTGTTTTTCTTCTTGACACTGGAGGGCTTCAAGTGGTCTTATCATTCCAACTATGCTTCCTTATCCAAGCACCACCACTTACAAAGCCAGTGGCATTTGTCAAGGTGGTTAACCATGATTCCGTGCCATTATTTACCATATATCAAATCTGGAATGGAGCTTTTCCGAGAGAGGGTCAAGTTCAATTACACGATATATTTGAGCATAGAAAAAAGTTTCAATGTACAAGAGAACTTATTTCATTGATTCTTTTAAACCTATAGTTATTAATATGGGTATTGAATGATTTTTTAAACTGTTTTTATATATACACATGTGTGTGTATAGATAGATATGTGAGTTTACGACACTGGTGTATTTATGGCCATGAGTATGTTAAAGAAAAAATTGTTCATGACCTTTGTTGAAGAATGGTAAGGCAGACCTTATTCAGAACTACTGCAATAGGTATAGGGGTCACTATGATGAGGTTCTGCAATGACAGGAAGAGACTGGGCTTCACTCCAATACAAGTGGGAATTCATAGCCAAGAAGCAAGGTGTGGGGTCAGTAGATGAAATATTACTAAGGAAACATCAGGGGCCAGGGGATTCTGGCTAAACCCTAACAGGATTCTTGCTGAAGGTAGTCGGGGTGATTGGACATCACCTGGGGCACGATGAGAGATGAGGAACCTGATCAGATAGCGAGGGAGATCAGATATTGAGGATGAGACATGCTGACTAACCCGACTAAGCAGGATTCTTGCTAAAATTGGACTGTGATAAGATGAACACGGAAGTCAAATGTCAGGGCCTCTCTTCTCAATTAGGACTCTGTCAAGTTAATAGAACTAAGCTTTCTCCCACTGAATTTTTTCTCCTCAGACAATATCCTCATTACTCCTTTGAAATTATTTAATCAGATATCTGCTTTTCAGCAAATTCAGTTTTTCACTTTTTAGTCTTGACACTCCCTAACTTATTTTTTCCTTAAAGTATGAGAAATTCAGAAAGACCTATAATAATACATAGTATTAAGTCAATGTGTACCTTCTAAGTTTTTCTATGCATGTATAATGTCTTAACAAGTAATGACATACTTTTGTAACCTGCAATTCATTTAAACATATTATGGAAATTTATATTATTTTTAAACATGTAACATATTCATAAGGCTAAACATTGAACAAGTATAGAAAGGTGGAGTGAAAACAGTCTTCCTGCTGACATTTTTAATGGCTGCAGGATAGTACATTGTAGGGAAGGACTGTATCATTTTAACCCTCTCCAGTTGACATTTGTGATGGACTTGTTACTATTTGGGTTTGGTTTTATTTTGCTACTCAGAAATACTTGGTTGAACAGTCTTGCAGAAACATCTTTGGGTCATATTTTCAGGATAAATTTCTCTAATTTCCTTCCTTCTCTTCCATCCTTTCCTGATTTCTTCCTTTCTGACCTTTCTCTTTCACCATGTTATCTTTTTTGCTGCCTCCAAGTGCATTTATCACTCAAGCTTCAACTCATGTTCCTTTGCCTTTACCTAGCACTTCCTAATGTTCTCAGGTATCCATACTCGGTCCCTGTTCCTTCCCTGTATTCTCTCATCTCTCCAGGTGCCACACCTGAAAGATCATGCCCAGAAGATAAATCTTTCTTTCCTTTGCCAAGGTTCCTAATATTTTCAGCTGAATAGTCTGTTCCATATCTTTGAACTTCAGATACTTAATGTGAATGTTGATCCTGCAGTTAAAACAGTTTGAAAACTGCTGGACTAGAAGGCCCCTTAAACATTACCTCTACTTCACTGACAAAGAGACAAAAGGGGGGACAGGTGAGGTAACATCTTGAGTCAGAGTGAGACTCGGTTAACAACTATCAATCAGTGATTGTCTGAATGCCACCTGCAGGCTGCTATTTTAAGCCTGTGTTTTCACTCCAGTAGGACAAAGTATTTTATCTTTTTACACATTATTAAAACGTGTACTTATATGGAAGTTTTAGTAATTTATATGTAACATTTTGGTTATAGATCTGAGAGTTCTGAACGACCTGGGTCTCAAAAAATGACCAAAGTATGCATATTAATCCTTCATCTATAAGTTTTATGAGAAACATAAATTCCTATTTATACATATAATTATTTGTGGAAATGACTGGATTAAATTATATTTGGGGAATCCTAGTGCTTGTTTTATAAAGTCTTAAAATAGAGATAGAATCAAGATAACATCAAGACTTTTTCACTTTTCTTTGCAGGGATGGAAAATAAAGCAGTATCTTATCGTCTATCTTTCAGCAGGCCTTCTGAAGTTTAACTAAAAATATGACTGTGCTTGCTTCAGAGAACTGCTCTTCTCAGTACCAGTTACATCAAACAAGTCAGCCCCTGGATGGTAACTGTCTGCTAATCTTGATTATACTTGGGAAAATATTATTAAATATCCTCACACTGGGAATGAGAAGAAAAGACACCTGTCAAAATTTTATGGAATATTTTTGCATTTCACTAGCACTCCTGGACCTTTTACTTTTGGTAAACATTTCCATTATATCCTATTTCAGGGATTTTGTACTTTTAGACATTAGGTTTACTAAATACCACATCTGCTTATTTACTCAAATTATATCTTTTACTTATGGCTTTTTGCATTATCCAGTTTTCCTGATAGCATGGATAGATTATTATCTGAATTTTTCTAAAACCACCCTTCCATTTAAGTGTCAGAAATTATTTTATTTCTTTACAGTAATTTTGATTTGGATTTCAGTATTTGCTTATGTATTGGGAGATCCAGATATCTACCAAAACCTGAAGGCACAGAATGTTTATCCTTATCAATGTCCTTTCTACGTCAGCATTCAAAGTTACTGGCTCTCATTTTTCATGGTGATGATTTTATTTATGGCTTTCATCACTTCTTGGTCAGAAGTTATTACCTTGGTACAGGCTATTAGGATAACTTCCTACATGAATGAGACTGTCCTATATTTCCCCTTTTCATCCCATTCTAGTTGTACTGTGAACTCTAAAAAAACACTCTTGCCCAAGTTCATTGTCTGTTTTCTCGGTACCTGGTTACCATTTGTACTACTTCAAATAATTATCCTTTTATTTAAAGTACAGATTCCAGCATATATTGAGATGAACATTCCATGGTTGTACTTTGTCAATAGTTTTCTCATTGCTACGGTTTACTGGTGTAAATGTCACAAGTTTAATTTAAGAGACATTGCATTACCTGTGGATCCATTTGTCAACTGGAAAAGCTGCTTCATTGCACTTGGAATTCATGATCCTGAGCAAACTGAAAAGCCTACATCAATTATAATTTGTTAACATGTTGCCATGTTAAAACTTACAACTGTGGTATTTTCAAAGAAAAAAGAATAACTCAGGGCATACAAAGACTGAACTGAACTGAAGCCTCCCTCAACCGCCTCAAAGTGTATTTTGGGGCTATGATATTTGTCTTTTTGTTCGTTTTTAAACAAAATAATTCCAAGAAAAAATTTTATACCTGTTCAGGAAAATTGCATGTTACAAATATTAACATAGAAGTGAAATGAGTTAACATTTGGCCATACTGATGTTTCTGTTATCCAAAAAAACTACTGGATGCAAACTGTTATGTAAATCTGAGATGCGCTGCCAACTTTTATATAAACTTAAATAAACATTTTTATTTAATTCACAGCAATAAAATCAAGATGGTTTTCTTAAAATGATTCGGTATAAATATTCTTTAACATAGGGGAAGAGTAGCTAATTTTAAAAATATATATTTGTTCTTAATGTAAATATTTCTGCAAGCTAAGTTTCGGTTGCTTACCTTACAGAACTGGCAGTGACTAGGCTCTCTCCATGCCAGATTCCTTTTCAGTTATAACTTAAATGTCACTTGCAATATCAAATCATAACTACATTGTAAAAGTAAAGCAGGGTTTCCTGTCCTCAGCACTATTGATATTTTGGGTTAGGTAATTCTTTGTTTGGGGAGAACGCCTGTGCATTGAAATATTTAGTAGCATCCCTACCCTCTACCCACTCGATACCAGTAGCACCCTCTTCCCCAGTCTTGACAATCAAAATGTCTCCAGACATTGCCAAGCCTCCCATGGGGGGCAAAATCGCCCCAGCTGAGAACTACAGGAATAAAGGAATCTGAATGACAAATAATCTGAAGTCACTTTGTGAATTCAGTTGAACTACATAGAAGTGTCCAACCTGTCCATGTCTAAACCTGGCCCTCTCACTTTTCTGTTACGTTTCCTCTGAATGTATTGCTTTCTAATTGGCCATAACATGGCACTATGATATTTAAAATAAATTGTACTTAATAAAACCCTGCAGATTTTAAATCAGGAAAGTTTCTATCTATTTCAAATCCCTTAGTAAGCTTTTTGTTGTTGTTCACTTAGAAAGCCCCCATGCCTCATAAGCTTAAAGAAAAAAAGAAATTATGCAATAGACCAGCCAAATGGAAGAGGCTTTTATTAGTAAAGAAATGAACTTAACAGCTGGTCTACAATATATTATTGAATTATAAACAATATAAATAAATGATTTTGTAGGCCCACTTAACCTTCATCCAGACCCACATGAAGCAATGTTACAACAATGTTCTACGTGAAATGTGCAGGTAACAAAGGTGCAATTACAAGTCAGGTTAAGCAGCAGAATATAAGGTGCTTTAATTTAACAGTTAATGTTGCCATCAACAAGCATCTGAATGCTTAATTTCACTTCACTGAATACAGACACAACAGATATGAAAATCTAAAATTAATACACATGCTACTTGTTAATATGAAAGTGCCTTCTCTTTTTAAAAAAAATATACCAAATGGACAGACTTTTTACATAGATCGTGGTGTGCTCTTATAATGCAAAATTAACTTCATTTTCAGGTTATACATTTGAAAACTAGCTACAGACACCAATCTAGGAACACTAATGCTAAGAGTGCTAAAACTAATTTCCTGTAAAGAGGACTCTAATACAATATCCAATGTAAAGAATACATCTATATATAATCTTAACATTTGTTTTCTATAAAGATAAAAAATGCTTTTTCCCCTTGGTGATGCTTTGTTCATCCTGGGTGGATCAGCTTTTGAGGTTTTAATCATTTGAAAGTCCCATTTTAGAACATTGTGAGGAATCAAACGTAGAAATAGAAAAAGTCAACATGTACTTGAAGAATCAAAAATTAGTATTTTTTTAAAAACTAATGTATCACAAAAATTTGCCTTTGTTTAAATCAACAAAAGGTTAACCAGCAAGACAAAAGCATTAATTCAGTAGAGGCCTGAAATGCCTGCACACTGTGGCCTACAACTCAGCACAAGCTTACCCCTGACTCTAAGCATAGTTTCTAGAACCTACTTTGACTTTTTTTTCCCTACAGAAAAAAACAGAAAGTTTTTGAATAAGGTGACTTGGGAATCTTGGGTAAATGTCTCAGAAGTTAAACATCCTTGTACACTTCGTTGACTTTATTTTTTTAAATCCTCACCTGGGGATGTTTTTCGCATTGCTTTTCAGAGAGCATGGAAGGGAGGAAGGGAGAGAAAGAGAAATATCAATGCAAGAGAGAAACACTGACTGGTTGCCTACTGTATGCATCCGACTGAGGCAGAGAGGGAACCCACAACCCAGGTGAATGCCCTTGACTGGGAACTGAACATGCAACCCTTCGGTTCAGGAGCCGATGCTTTAACCACTTAGCAACACCAGTCAGGGCTCCACTGACTTTTTAAGTTTTAAGAATACATATTTAAAAGGTACTAATGCAATATATATACTAACATCATAAAATATGGGTAAATATTTTTAAAATTGGGTATATCAAAACATGTTAAATTTTAAACAATGCCATGGGGAAAAAATTTGTTTTACGTGGAATGTCAGTGTTCCTTTTTAAATCAATTTGTTAAAGATTCCAATCCAACATGTATTAGGACATTTTCCTGCTTTAAGTTGTGACTACCCACCTGGTGTGGCTAAGTGGTTGAGCATCAACCTGTAATATAGCCAGGAGGTCACAGTTCCATTCCCAGTCAGGGCACATGTCCGGGTTGGGGCTCAATCCCCAGTGTGGGGCATGCAGGAGGCAGCCGATCAATGATTCTCTCTCATCATTGATATTTCTACCTCTCCCTCTCCCTTCCTCTCTGAAATCAATAAAAATGAGATACTTTCATTTTTTTATCTTTATAGAGAATGTTAGTATCAAGCAATGTTAATATGTAAAGCTCTGTCAATAGGAATTACAGTGTAAGTCACAGAATCCTCAAGTGGTAAGGAATCTCTACCCAGTTAATAACGATCCCATTCAATACTTACTCCCCATATACTTGTCAATTTAAACATAGAACTCTTTTATGTTTACTAGTTCAGTATTTTAAAGTAAAACCCTTTTATTTTGTAATGTGTTCTTTCTAAAAAGTAGTTATTTGTAATAAAATTCATCTTATGTAGCCTTCCTTGCTTTAAAAACAAAACAAAAGTACAAAACAAACCTGTTCAGCAAATTCCTTTGAGATTTCCCAGTTTTAGATATGCTTCACTGTCAATACTGGATGTAAAGCTTTTGTGGTTAAAAATGTATAGTAAGTCAGCACCAGCTTCTTTGTATTGTTCTGTCACACTCCCTGCATAGCAACACCTCTGGAACAGATTCAAGTGTCAAAACAATTCTTAGAAATATGGGCTGTCACAAAATATAAATCCTTAGTGTTAGGACACTTAATTTCATAACCTAATCAGGTTTATGACTGATTGATGTTTAGTAGGTAAAATGTTACAGGATTTGATGTGATTTACTCAGACCCCTTATCTGTCATCTAGCCTAATCCTTACCCCAATGCATAAAAAAATTCCCTCAGTTCCAACTTTATATTCAGTACATTAAAGTAATAATAATTATGTCCATGTTTAAACTGCAATCAAAATTTTGTTTGGGAAGATTTTGTTTACTTATGACTAGTTCCTTACATCATGTATATCACATGCTGCACATAGTAAGTGTTCAAACAGTTTGCTAAATGAATGGATAAATGTCTGAATGATAATGTCCATTATCATTTTTCATCATATATAATAAAAGGCTATTATGCAAATCGACCGAACGGCAGAATGACTGGTTGCTATGATGCACACTGACCACCAGAAGGCAGATGCTCAACACAGGAGCTGCCCCCTGATGATCAGTGCGCTCCCACAGGGGGAGCGTCGCTCAGCCAGAAGCCGGGCTCACAGCTGGCGAGCACAGTGGTGGTGGCGGGAGCCTCTCTTGCTTCCGTGGCAGTCGGACATCCCCCGAGGGCTCCTAGACTGCGAGAGGGCACAGGCCAGGCTGAGGGACCCCCCAGAGTGCATGAATGTCATGCAGTGGGCCTCTAGTGTGTTCATATATTCCATGGTTAGCTAGCAAGAAGCATTTAGAAAAATGTCCTCATTTGCTTGTCTGTTTAAATTTTCTGCCTTGTTCCCTAGGACAACCAAGACTAGGTGGCCCAGGGAATAATGCTTAATAAATAATTATCTTTTAGCAATTGCTCTGAAGTATGAAAGGAACTGTTGAAAAGGGAAAGAGAATTAAGTAGAAGCAACTTAAAAACACCCCATTATGTGGCCCAGAATCATAGTTTTAGAGCTGGGAGGAACCTAAGAGATGATTTAAATCAAAATCAACATGTTTAGTATAGGCTCCACACGGTATACATAGAAGAGGAAACAGGTTTAAAGGTAAGTAACTGCCGAGGGGGTCACCACACACAGCTGTTTCAACTAGATGTGAAACCCCAGTCATTCATCATAGTAATTTAATGATTATGTAGATCTATTAACTATTAGAGTACTTAGTACTACCTAAAACAAAAAGAATTATGACTTTTCAACCATTCTAAACAAAGATTGTAAGCAATGGATACTTCTGGTTTGCTTGAGGCACGACTGAAAAGTTCCTTCTTTCTAAAGTAGGTTGATATTTACTTCACCACCAGCTCCACCACCCTCACAAACACGAACTTTTTCACCTCTATCAATGAAAGCTCCAAAAAACATGGATTTAACACTGTATACTTTTTAAGCCAATAATGATGGCTACTATCAATCCTTAAGAAGATTACTGGAGTTAAATTTAAAACCATGCCATGTTAACATAACAGTGTTTTAAATTCATATTTATTTTTTCCAAATTAAGAATCATTCTATACTTCCTTTTAGACAATACATTTAAAAACCTTTGCACAGGTTTTCTCTCTATGGATTCATATTTATGCCACCAGTATCACTGAGAGCAGTTGTACTTTTCAAAGACAGAAAAAAATACTTTTCTAGTGTACCTCCTAATATCTGAGATTAAAACAGTCATCTTTAAATAAAATGTTCATAAGCTATAAAAAGGGAAAACATGAAACATTCATGGGAAACATTTCCCAAAAGTTTCCGTAAACATCGCATTTAAAAGGTTCACGTGTTAAGAGTAGAATGGGACAATTTTCATTAGAGAAGGTGGGCTTCAGATCTGAAAAGGAGGGAGGCCACTTCCTTTTAATATGTGTGTACTAAAGTGACAGTTCAGAGAAAGCCAAATGTTTTGCTCTGTAATATGATGGCAATAATTACCATCATATTAGTACTTTACAACTTTCAAAAAAAAAGCTTTCTCATAGTATTATTTTAAGCTAGATTAAATAAGCTCTAAAAAATTATATGTAAAACTTTAGAATTCTTAAAAATTTAGGAAACTTTTTCCAAAGATAATATAATTTTTAACTCTTTACTGATGTAATGGCTTGTATTGCTGCTATAAAGGAAATCATATAGAGATACGTTTTCTGAACTTAAAACAAAAGAGGAATATCTTTCCAAAGAATTCTTTTAAAGATATGCAGCTCTTAATAGGTTGAAATTAAATTTTGCTAAAACTGCATATTTACTTTCCCTAATACTGTATTTGTGCTTATCTAAATTGAATCATAATCTTTAAAATGAAATCAAATGTTCTAAATAGATTCATAAAATACCGATAGTGAATAATGTGAAACTATTTACTTCATGATCCACACTACTGTGCATCAAAAAATAGAGGTAGGCTTGTGTTAATTAAAATCACACTGATAAAGAGAAACAGCTCTTAGTCATCCAATTCTTACACTGAGACAACCTAGCAAATAAGATACAACCTTAAAAATGCTTTTCTTTGATTCAGCTGTGGCATCTGAAAGTGAATACTCAATTCTGATCATTAAAACAACTAATCTTTGAGTTTCTGACAACCTAAGACTATATATACAATCTATATATTGCCTCCTTACGACACTTGTGCCATAGTGTATCAACACCCTGCAAATACAAATAATAGGGCTTAAAACATTTAATTGGACACGTCAGTGATATGGGGCACTATGACAGATTTCAATCTAATACTGGTATCTGAATAAATGTCTAATTTCACACTGGCTAGATGAAGATTAACTGTAAAAAATTATTCAAAGGCATGGGCATAACAATACATATTACATACAGTTCTAAGAGGGCTACTTAAAATAATTTCTATTTAAAACTAGGTAAAACATAAATATTAGCTTCAAAAGTGCAGAAATTTGTTCAGTGTTGAAGTGAGATAAACTAACAAGTGGCAGGCCTCTTGCCTCTCTCGCATTCTCAAGTTTCTTCACTAACATTTTTTCCCTCCCATTCCACCTTCTCTACTTCTAGGTCAGCCCTTAAAAGTGTTTAGATGATGCCACAGCAAATTAAAAGTACCATCCTGGAAACAGTTAAATGCCACTTAAAAAGTGACAGTCTGTCTCATATTATACTGATTTCATCAAAGTGCAGAGCTGTGTCAGACACATCCCTGCACAAGACTTGATGAAAATCCACATCATGTAAAAAATAATTTTTATAAGCCAGCTCTCTTAGCTTGTTTACTTTCTTAGAAACACATGGCTTAAAGCAAATAAAATTTCAAACTTGTAGGTTTTCCCCCCCTCAATGGAAAAAGAGTGTGTAAGTTTAAACAAGTCAGAAAATACAAACTTAAGTAGCAAAAATAGGAAGAACTTCTCTTTCTGCTTGTCATTCCCTCAATCAAAATCCTAAAACAATTATATAAATAAAAATAATAGCCCTCTTCCCACCTATATCATACTAAAACTGTGCTTACAGCTCAGGAGAGAGGTGCACACCCAGTGTCATCATCTATATCCATTATATGTAACTGATATTAACATGATTTAATCATCTTGAAAGAAATAACTGCTTCAAAGGTGAGAGTGACTAGTTGAAAGCAAATGAGCCATTTCTAAATAAAACTACTCACTTGAAAAAAAAAACAAGTATATTTTCTGGTATGTTTTGATACTATTCTTAAGATTATTATTATTATAAGACTTAAGATTATAAGGTACTCTCAAATGGATATCCTTCTTGTAAGCTTTCTTAACATAGTGCCAGGCACAGGGGCTTTTTAGTAAGTACTACATAATGACTGCTATTAGAAGAGGGTGTAAATAAAAGGTGAACCTATTAACACAGTTCAAAGCTAACCCCTTAAAGGTTATATATAGTTATGGGAAGCAGTCATTATTGCAAGGGGAATTTATCCTCACATAATTTTACATTAGTTGTGTGTGGATTCTCTATGCTAAAGTTTTAATTCCAGGGGAGATTTTTCTTTGTGCCCCCACCCTCCCAATACAGTGAAACATCTTCCACTAGTGCTTAGCCTGTATTTGAGTTCTGAAATTGCAACACGAGGGGAAAAGTCAAGCATATGACAACTCTGTCACAATGATTAAATGCTAATAAATGAAAGTTGACTAGAGAGTACCTACCTTTCCTTGAAACTTTAATCCAATAATTAAAAATGTGATATAAAGAAATATGTAACATGGACTACAAGCTATTGTAGGTCTGGAACATGAGCCTTACACTATATTACACATTCTAATCCTACACGCAACTATCAGTAAACATCATTTTTTAAAACATTACTACACTAAAGAATCCCACAAAGCATACATTCAAACAAGAGGCATCTACAGATTAAAAAAATTACCCGCTGTATTTTTGTATAAAAATAATCAACATTCTCTAATGTACACAAAGCCAAAAGATAAATATCTGTGATGTCTTTAATGACATCTTTAGTCTTCTACTAGGTCAACACAATCTTTTTGAAAAGAGCAGTGATAATGACTGAAACCCATAGACTCTTTCCACTTTTACCAAATATCTATGTATGTTCCTTCAATTATTAAAACATTTTCATTGTATGATAGAGATAAGATTTAAAAAAAATAAACAAATTTTTGATGTCCAGGACTATAAAGCTCTCAAGGCTCCCAAAACAATTTTGTTTTGGTGTCACAATTCTAGTAGATCACTAACTGTTTGGTGAAAGGTTTTACTTAAAAATTTCCCCCCTAAAACATGTACATACAAAATTAGACTTCACCATTCAAGAGATATCACTTGGTAAGTGCTTTGCAGAAAGCATGCAAGGGTTTAGTCAGGAAAAAGGAATATGCTTTCTAGCTAGACCCAGCATGTTCAACATTAGAAAAATGCCAAAGACCAAATACGTTTATCTGCTACACACTATTGCCTTGTTGGTAAAGGTTATATGTACATTGGTTCATAAGGTGTAATCAGATTATGCCTTTTATCACAGAAGAGCAGAGATAAAAGATAATTAATATGAATCAATATCTTTTAAGAGTCAAATTATTTGTATGCTAGTCCTTATTTTATCGGCCAATTTAATGGATTGCTCCCCTTTTTCTAAGTGTGCATACACTGGGGAAAATACTTCAGCAGAACACTGATGCTACCTGAAATATTTGCATTGTGTAATGTATCCCTCTGGGTGAAAAAGAGAATAATTTATCACTCCTACATTAGAGTTTCTCAACCTTGGTACTACTGACATTTTGGACCGCATAGCTGTTGTGGAGGGCTGTCCTGTGCATTGTAGGAAATATACAATCCCTGTCCTCCATGTGTTAGGTACCGAGAGCATCCCTCCCTCAGCCCCCTCAGCTATGACAACCAAAATGTCCCCAGGGCAGCAAAACTCATCTCCAGGAGAACCATTGGTCTACATGTACAAAAACTAAGAGGACAATGTTCTCAGCTACACCAAATTCTTGGTCAAGTTTAGAATAGAAACCAACTTGTTTGACTCCCAGATCAGTGTAATTCTTGCTAGAATGCAACCCTTTTTTATAGACAAAACAACTTTCTAACAGACATTTTTTTTAAATGCACAATGATATCTCACTGCATACAATTCCAGTCACTGGACTCCTAAATTATTCTTAAATTATCTCTAATGACAACTTATGGGAAAATTATAGGGTAGAAAAATGTATAACAAAACTGGATCAAAAGAGAAATGTAAATCATTAAATTAGTTTTAAAAGGATTCTTTATATTAATGATAAACATTACTTTTTTAAAAAGTACTAGAATACGTTTCTTTGAAAAATATCATGGCCCTCTATAACAAGTCTTTCAATGTTGTATGTAACCTGTAAAATTAATTTCACCAATGTTGGCTAATTATGAAAATGTATGATGAATTATTATATCTGTAAAAGAAATGTCAGCTTTTCATGTGGAGATCCCAATGTTCTTGGCTATCCACCACAATACGTGATAATATTCTAGGCCAACCTGAGCCTTTACCTTACAAGTTTGTTTAAGAAGAATAAAACTGCTGTTATCGAAAAGCCTCATGATCTTGTTAAGATTCCTTCAGAGAGTTGATGCGTGCACAGATCTTTAGGGCGGGGCCAAGCTTGATATTCATTGCACTCATAAGATGGTCTTCTTTTAGCAAGAGAAGGGCCTGTCCATCAATCTCCTGTGCTCTAAACTCATCTGCGATATCCTGGCAGCCTGGAATTTGATCAGAGGAAGGAAATTAGAATTAATACACAACAATTAGACATTACTCCTAATAGTCACAGTTATGCTCTCACTGGGTCTGAGTATGTGAACTACAGGCTGAGAAACAAATGAAATTTATTTATGGTAATCTTAGGTTCACTCCCGAAGAAGAGAGTATTTTTTGACATTCTGAAAATAAAAATTAATCAAAATCAGGTAAAGCAACTTACTTGGAATTCTTGTTCTAAAAATAATATAGAAATAATTAGTAAGAGTCAGGTAAAATGTAAGGATTGATCAGTCTAGAATCTAGACTCTAGATATAGCTTATCTTCACAAAAAGGATGATGGTGTCATCTCAAAGCATGCCACATATATAACAAGTTTAGATTAACTAATTATTATACCTCATGAACTTATCTTTCTATAACGTATTCTTCACATATACATACAAAGGAATAAAATATAGTGTTCTGCCATTTAAATAACAATTTAGAAATATTTTCTTATGTACCAGAATACCACTTTCATTACCTCTTATAACTTTTAATTTACAACCTTCAATTGACAAGCACATCGAAAACATTTTTATTGTTCACTAAGGACAGAACCAATCCATCAAGATTATAGTATTGCTCTATTGCAATACTGCTAAAATGTATTATACTGCTCTACTTGTAATTTCAACTTCAAATCTTAGTATCATTGGACTCATCTCCACTTTTGAAACATAAATTCTCATTGAAATTAGGGGCTTGCTAACTAACATCTTGCCAAAAAACATTATTTTAGCTCTCAAACTAAATCAGGTGCTTTATCAGGTAACAAACAATACTAGAATCAACTTGAACCCCAAATGTTCTTATTATCTACCAAATTTTGCAGTCAGGTTACTCAATAAACTTCTCCACTAAGGATAAGGAAACTAGCAAGAAGGTAATGAATTAAGGAACCAAGAGAGAAGAGAATGCACAATGTAGAAGCTTCCTTAGACAGTAAAATTAGAAAAATAAATTTAAGAATAAATACTAATGCCTTAGCCAGTGTTGTTCAGTGTTAGAGCATTGGCCTGCACACCAAAGGGTCTCAGGTTTGATTCCCGGTCGAAGGCATGTACCTGCGTTGCAGGTTCGATCCCTGCTCCAGTTGGGGTGTGTGCAGGAGGCAATCGGTGTGTCTCACATTGATATTTCTCTCTCTCTTCTCCCTCCCCCCCTTCCACTCTCTCTAAAAATCAATAGAAAAACAAAACAAACAAAAAAGAATAAATACTAACAGCTTAAAGTCTATTTTATTCAAATCAGTATATTCTCAGGGAAAACACAAAAAAATGGAAATGGTTACATTACATCTTTAGATACCACAACTTTGCAGAAATGATTATCTTCCTATTGCAAACGTATCATTCTCTTGTTTATATAGATAATGATGTCATCCCTATAACCCCAGAACTAAACACAAAGCACTGTAGGTGCTAAATATACATATATATTTTTTTTGGGGGGGGGGGGGTAAGTGAAGGATTAAATGAGTGAATAAATAAATAATGAACAAAAAACAGAATCTGTTAGAGAGGAACCATCTGTAAGAGTAATACAAACACTTTTTCTGTATTTTGCTGTGTGGCCATCTTTTCTCTTGGATATTTTTTTGCCTTCTTTGTTGGTTGTATCTTTCTTGTTTCCTATATAACAGCCAGCTTATCAATTTCTCTAGTCTTAATAATTTCTCAGACTTCTAAAAATTGACATTTCAAAAGTACCCTATGAGGAATTTTTATGATTTTGCCCATTTACCATATAAAAGAAATTATATAGTTAAAAGGAATTACTCACCATAGAAAAGCCCCTTTCCTTTTCCCAGAGGTAGCTCTCAAAACTGGGCAGACAAAACTGACTAATCTTGCGTCTAGTTGTGACTTCATCCTTCTTTATATGAAAGAACTAATGTTCTTCTCTCTTCAGTCTTACTTACAAGAGCACAGGGAAGAAAAGAAGAGAGAGAAAGATAGGGTAGGACTTACTTAGATTCAGAAAACAGGAGCCATGAGAAGTAATGAGGACTATAAGAGCTACATGTGGGAATAGAAACAAGGAGCTCTCCATGAGGAAAATATATAGCATGTTTTCGTTCCTCTGCATTATGAGATCCCTCTTCAAATGTCTTCTTGCAGGTGGACAATAAAGGTATTAGCAAAATAATAGTGAACAAAAAGTTTGGGAAACAGCATGATCAAATATGAATGCATTATCTTCAGAATTTTTGATCACAACTTTCTTAAGCCAACCCAAAAAAGGGGTGGGGGGATTATACTATACATTAGTACATAAGTTAAAAAATAAAGTGACTTAAAAAAGAAAAAAATAGAAGCAAATATGCTTCCGGAAAATCGAGAAAATTGAATTTAAAAAAAATTTTACATGCTCAGGATGTACTGAGCTAGTTCTATGAATTTCTGACATTAAAATCTCCTTCTGTAAAGCAGCTGCACCCTAGGGATATGTACAAAATATATCCCAACTGTAGTAACCAGTCAGAGTAGCTGGCTTTACATCACCAGAAGCAGCTATCAGGGTGTGCACAGACCTGAACACATGAACACGGGTCCCAAGCAGTCAGTCACTTTTCCAGAGAAACCCAAAATAAACTCACCCTGCACAAAAAATGGCCTCAATAAGAAAGGTGAAAAGCTATGACCTGCCATTCAATATTACAGAAAAATCAAGTCCCAATGTTAGTATTATGAAAACCAGTAAATAGTCATATCTACACTAATAAAAGACAAAGATGCTAATTGACCATACCTTCGCTACGCTCACCAGCCAATCAGAAGAGTATGCAAATTAACCCAACAAAGATGGCCGTTAAATTTGCATACTGCAGGCAGATCCCACTGTGCCGCCCGCC